ACTTTTCTATTGACCACTTTCATCTTGCCTGAAACCTGGGCATTCTTTCCGTAGCTTCTCTGAATTTTCTGTCCCACGTCCTCACCCCTACCCTTGCCTTTTGTCTGGGCTCGGTTCCCTGTTCATATTCTTTTCTGACATTATACTCTTGCTGGTTGAGTGTGTGCTTGAAACGTCTTACCAAGTCGTTCTCTAAGTGGTACCATTGATGTACAGTCCCATTGGAGAGCACGTGTACGTTTCCTTAGGCCCTTCCAACACTGGCTTTATCAGACATTTTGATCTTTGCTGAGCTGATGGTTGAAAGTCTGATTTGCATTTCTTTACTTGAGAAAGGCTGAGCGTGTTTTCATTTGTATAAATCATTTTCAGGTCCTTTCCTGGGAGCCATCTGTTCATGTCTTTTATAACCACTTTTGAGTGTTCTATCTGAATTTCACAGAAATGAGATAGATGTAGGGTGGGAGCAGCAGGAAGGAACGGCGGACCAAGGAGTGTTAGGGATTCCATGTCAGGCCCTTTGGTTGCAAGTAACAAGAACTCAGAGTATTTTAGTTCAAAAAGGGTTTGGCCTTCTTTATGGACAAGAAGAGAGCACTGAAGACCAGACGGTCACGGGAGGGAGGGCTGTCGTGCTTGTATCCTAGAGTTGCCATGTTCAGGGTAGGAATATGAGAATGCCTGCATCCATTCATCAAAGAGTGCCGACTCTGGGGCCAGGCATGGTTCCAAGCTTGGGGATGTAGGGGTGAGCTGGCCGAGGCACAGTCTTCCCAGCCCTTTCCATCCTCACCCCAGCCCTCCCCATCTGCACCTCCCGCTGTGCCCACCCTCCCCAGCCCTCCCTTCTGCAGCCCTCCCCACCTTTCACAGACTCTTGTGTATTTGTCACTGGTGAGCAGAATGGCATGACTCCAGGGATGGAATCACAAAGCAACTATTTTTGTTTAAGACATAATTCAGTCGGAGACCTTCTACCCCTGGTGAAAACTCAACTCAGGGCGACCCATCACCTTTTTGAGTGCTCTGGGGTAATAGCCTTTATAGTCCTCTTAGGTCGCCAAATGCTTTCCTAACTCAGAAATTGGAATATCGCATCTGTGTGAGTGAAAGCTGTGACAGTTGCTCACTGCCCTGTCTAGCCCCCCAGAGTTAGAACAGGAAGGGGGAGCCAAGACAGGGAGGGAGCAGAGATCTCAGCCCTCCATAGGAACTGTCCTAAGTCGGTCGCACTTCCTGAGCTTCCAGGGCTTCGTTCTCTTTCTCTCATGGGGTCCTTTCAGGAATCTTTGAGGCCCCCTCTGCCTCCCCACTTCTTGTCCCCGGCTCAGGGCCTTCCCATGTGCCTTGACCAAGGCAGCTCCTGGGATGTGCTAATGCTGTTGCGTCCTACCACCACTTCCTCCTTTGCAGCTCCTAGGAAGCCAGCGATAGCTCCAGCTTCTTTCTGCTGAACCCTGTCCACCCCGCTAGGTGGCCTTTTGGGGCAGGCCTTAAGATGATTCCAGGCAAGCTTGTTGATCTGAGGCCAGGGTCTGGGCCAAGGGAAAGACTTTTGGACCCCCTGCCGTGTCAAACTCGGGATTTGCCAGTCGGCCCCAGTGCTCTTCTATTAGATTTGATGGGTGAGTCAGACACCAGCCCACTGTCTCCAGGACCCCATTTCAAGCTTTGAGTATTGCAACCCCCTGCTTCAGAAGGAGTGGGACTCAGTGTCGCTCTCTGCAAAGAAACCATCTCTACAAAGTCTTTTCAAATATCTACTCTTGGTCCTTTTTTGCCCTCCTCATGGTGAGGGATGGCAGAGTCAGGGAGTTCAGACTCCTGCAGCAGGAGGCTGGGTGCCATCAGGAGTCCCCATTTTGTGTGGCCACCTTCTCTTTGGTGTGAGTGTCGTCCTCTCTGGCTGGGTTCTTATTTTCTACACGTAGCACAGGCGTAACCTGGTGCCCACCCGTGTTAAGTGTCAGACTGGTCCTGCAGCAGCCCAGTGCCTACAGTGAGGAAGGACCTGCCGGGCAAAGCAGGGGGCTCATCAGGCCAGGGTTTCTAGAACTGTATCCCGGGCTGCTGAGAAAGGGTGTGTGGGTTGCGTGATGCAGAATTCCAGGAGATGTCATTTCCATCATAGTCCAAGGAAACACTTGAGCCTGGTGGAGGGAGATGGTTCTGGAGGGAAGCTTCTGTAGCATCCAAGCCCCAGGTGGGCAGGAGCCCCTGAGCCGAGCTGCTGGGACTGAAGAGGAAAAGGAGGGAGTGGGAGTGAGATGCTAGGAGGCAGCGCTGATGGGACTGAGAGGAGTGGGACATGGAGTGGGTTTCTGGGTGGGTGCCTCTGTGACTCCTCTAGATGGGGGAGACTGGAGAAAGTGTAGAAGGGGTGAGGAAAGAGTGTGCAGGGAGGGGCTGAAGGCCATGGCCCTTCTCGGACCCTGAGGAGATGTTGGGAGGTGACTGGATACACCCAGTGACTGGTCTGAAGATTGGGAACAAGTTAGGGCTGGGAAAACAGACTTGGGCATCACCGCTGTATTTGGAGCTGGAAATAGGCCCAGATTAGGGAGCCTTGGCGCATGAGGACTGGATTCCTAGTGAAGGTGGAAGTGGGCCTGCCAGCCATTTATATACTTTTCTGAAGAGCATGGAATTAAATAGCATTGGGCAGGTTGGCATTGGGAGAGAGAAGAACCAGGCGAGGTTAGGACGTGGCCTTGCTGGCATGATGGAGGAAACGCTCTTTACCTCAGACCACACATGAACTGCAAGCATCTGCCCTGATGGTGCCAGGGGCAGTGGAGATACTGGCCGCTCTCCTCAGCCGTTTCCTTTAGACCAAGAGAACCTTTATCATGTAGCAGATGAAAGACCCGATGAGAATTTGAGATTTATAGTATAATGTAAAGTTCGGAAATAATGATTGCATTTGTTAATTCTATTTCTGTCTTTGGAATCAAGGGTTTCTGAACCTGAGATAAGCAGTTTTTTTTGTTTGATAAAAGCTCTAGTCATTTTTCTTTGTTGAAAGTGGACCACAGTAATGTTCTTGGATTTGTTGGCTGAAGCACTTCCATGTGGCTTAGAAGCTTTGCAGACACAGCACCCCCGCCTTCCTCAACTGCCATTGGCCACTGCAAATCCTGGTGGTACAGTAGATTAGAGCTGTGTAGAAAAGATCTTGTTCTAGAGGAGAGGAGGCTGATCCACAGGCATCTAGTCACTTGCCTGAATCACAGCTAATAAGCAGCAGACAGAATGAGGACTCACAGCGCCTGATTTACTTTTTCCTTTTGTTCGAAGCCCAGTGTATTGAACTGGGCAATCAGCATGGTGTTTACTGTCTTACATTGTCCAGGTAAGAAACCTGGAGCTTGTTGGGAGCAGAATTACAAATATATATATTTTATACTGACTGCTGTAGTCAATTTGAATCAAAAACTATGCAAATATTTTATTTGTATTTTAGAGACGGGGTTTTGCTCTGTTGCTTAGGCTGGATTCCAACTCCTGTACCTGGAATTCCAATTATAGCCTTCCCTGCACCTAAGCATTGCCTTTAAGTGTCCAAAAAAAAAAAAAAAAAACAAAAAATGAGAGGAAGTCATAGTTTTCTCCATGAATTTGAAAATATTCTCCATGATTTTTCTCCTGAGCTAAGCAAGTGAGACTACAGAGGATAAAGAGGAAGGTATGGAAGGCAGAGATACCAGGGGGCAGGGCTTGGTGGGACTCCACTGGCGGTGGGGGGTCGTGGAGGTTTCCAGGTGGGAGGTAAATGTGCCTCCTCTAGATGGAGATGTCAGGGGAAAGCATGGGTTGGGGTGTAGATTTGCCCCTTGTGGTATTAACAGTACCACTCCCCACAGGGACAGTCAGTGATGCTGGGGCCAGCGCAGCTCTGCACTGTCTTTAAGGCAACCAGGAACTGAACACACCTGACCCGATAGCTAGGCCTGAGGACATGGCATAGCCCATGCACTGGGGCCAGGAGCACAGCTCTGAAGCCTTCAAAAACATGGTTGGTGTTTGAGGCAGTAAGAGAGAAGCACAGTGGAGGTAGGACTGAGCTCTGGGATTTTAACAAAAGGAGCAGTAAGGAAGGATATAGGCAATCCCAAGTGAGTCTGTAGGATGCCTAGAATCTTACTGACTACAGGTATGTAATGAAACACTTTCTACAATGTCTTAGGAGGAGCTAAAAAAAAGGTAGAGCCATCTTTCTTTGAGGTTAAAATGTGATGCTTTAAGAAAAGTGATGCTGGGCGGGCACGGAGGCTCACACCTGTAATCCCAGCACTATAGGAGGCAGAGGTTGGTGGATCACGAGGTTAGGAGATCGAGACCATCCTGGCCAACATGGTGAAACCCCGTCTCTACTAAAAATACAAAAATTAGCCGATGTAGTGACGCATGCATGTAGTCCCAGCTACTTGGGAGGCTGAGGGAGGAGAATTGCTTGAACCCGGGAGGCAGAGGTTGCAATGAACCAAGATCACGCCCTTGCACTCCAGCCTGGCGACAAAGCAAGACTCCATCTCAAAAAAAAAAAAAAAAAAAAAGTGATAGAAGAGTAATGCTTTTCCCATAAAGACTAAGAAGAGTAAGAATCTCTTAGATGTGAGCAGGAGGATTGTCGGGCTCTGCCCTTCTCAGGCTCACTAAACATTTGCCTCATTTTGGCATTCCCATTTGAGAAGGTGTATAGAGAAGTTGGAGAGGGTTCAGAGAAGCATTTTCAATATTACTGAAGTTATGGGAAGTAAAAGTAATTTTAATGCAGAATAAGATCTGAAGAAATAGGTTATATTTAAGTAAGACAGGGAGTTTAGAGAAATTTCCCAGTGGTTAGAGGTTTTAGCAACCAAGGCAAAGGGCAAAATGTTAATATCTCAGGTAAATTTGATTAAAAGGGAAACTAATCAGGATTAGGAAACCACGTAACTGCAGTAAGTAAACAGATGCATGGTTAGAATAAAAAATCAAGAAACTAAAAGCAATCTCAATTGTATGCCAAGTGTTTAAGCTTTACTTAAAGTAAAATTAGAGTATGAAACCTATTTGACAATATATGAATACAAATCGATAAACCCTGAAACAAAGCATATATAAATGCTCTTACCAATGCAAAAACTTCCATCTGTTAGGTACATAAACAGCACTTCCTTAAAAGCGACATATATTTTATACTGACCGCTGTAGTCAATTTTAATCAAAAACTACACAAATATTTTATTTGTATTTTAGAGACGGGGTTTTGCTCTGTTGCTTAGGCTAAATTCCAACTCCTGTGCTTAAGCGATCCTCCTGCCTCAGCCTCCCGAGTAGCTGGGACTACAGATGCACACCACTGTGCTCAGCTAAATATTTCAATGTGATTGGTTTCAACAGTTTATACCCACAGTTTTGATGTGAAACTGACAAACCTATGAGCTGACAGCCACAGCCTATGTAGAGAAATGACTCTAAGCACACTTAATTTTGTTTAAAAAAAAAAAAAATCTAGATGACTGCTAATATTCAGATCTGAAATGAAGAATGAGGTAATTTTATTCTTCCATTGTAGGATCTCATACCACGTTCCAAATCCTAGATCATACACAGAGTGTTAGACCAGGAAGGGACCTTAGCAATAATGGCTTAAGCCTCCCATTGGACAGATGAGCGAGGTGAGGCCAAGAAGCGTGAATGATATGGAAGCCTCCAGCTTGAATACATTCCTTAAATGAATGAGTGTTGGCATGGAACAGAATCGCGTGCGTGGCTCTTGTCCACTTTCCCGAAGCCCTTCGATTAACTCCTTGGTCCTACTAGCTTTAGACAGTTCCCTGATCAGTACATTGTTAAGCAACCAAAATATCTCATTGCATCCAGGGAGCGGTGTATTTGCCACTGCAAGGCTTGTGGATGTGGCAGCCCTGGGGTAAGGGGCCTGCCGCATAGTGACATGACCAACGCTGTGGGGTGCTGGGTGATTGGTGGTGATGTGTACCCTGTACTTCTTTGTTATGCAAGGGTGGTTTGAACTTAGGTTTCAGAGGCTGGTTTATTCAAACCATGGGTCCCCGCATGTTTATGGCCCCACACTTCAGGGAACCAGCATCTACCTAGTTGTTATGTTTCTCAAATGTTCCCCAACGCCAAAGGTGCCGTTTCTTGCCCTGGCTCATAGCTAGGGAACGTTGCCTCTAAATCGTATAGTAAGAATTTCCATGAGGTTGTACAGTGAGTGGTACAACCATTTTTAGCTGGTCTGTCCCCTTCTTTAACCTAAGGAAACCACCACTTAAACTCTTGGAGAGAGGAAGGGTGCCTAGTTCTTGTGTGCTTTTGTTTACATATACATATTGGAGACGCTGATGTCAAGTCTTGTTAGTGAAGTGCACTTTAAGTTACATAGCCTAACTTAAAACAGGTACTACATAAAAAACATTTGCTGAATCGGTGTGTAGCTGACAGCCATCTATAAAAGTGCATGTATCTTATGCAGTCTTTTAGAGATCCTGGTTGTTTGCAAATGAAGCTGAGAAAACCATTATCACTAAAATGAAATATTTTAAGAGATACTGGCTATAAATTCTCCTGGAACCACTTGGACTTGACAAAGATTTTTCAAAAATGATTTAGGAGGCCCACCTTTGATGCTCTTCCTAGCGGAAAGTTGCAAGTTAATAGATTGAATGTCCCCTCGAGAAGAAAATAGTCTAAACTTTCGGTCTCGTCAATCTCCTTTTTCCCTTTTGAGATCAGATAGTATACTATGTATTTGTGACTTCTCTGACTTCTGAGTGCAGTTTGGGTTGATTGCACAATGCAATTTCTCTCATTTTGAACATTTGCATGATTTTAGACATTGTGCCTTTAAAAGGGCAGGCAACAGGCCCTTTTACGTTTCTCTTCAGATTTTTCTCTACATCCTGTTTTAAGTGTGGTTAGATCAGTGGATGAGTCACATGATGTTTTTTGCTGCTTCAATGACAGAAATAGAGATTCAAAATAACCACACAGAGGAGTATCCCGAATGGTTACCAAACACGTTGCTCAAAAACATGCTTTCCTACGGTTCCAGTGCTTTATGTGAGAGCCGTCAGAGGGCTGTGTGTGAGGGCGCTGTCTACAGAATGCAGGCAGGAGCTGCTGGCTTTGAACTGGCTGAATATGCAATGCAGACATCTCAGCACTCCACATCTTTCAAAGCCCTTCCTCACACTCCACTGCAACTTTGGTTCCAAAAGAAAGATGGGGAGCAGAACTTAGAAGATAAAGGACCCCTTTTCCTGGACGTGCAATGGTCTGATTGATGAAGACGTCATCCTAAGTTTAGAAGTCGGCTCACCTGCAAAGCTGGTACTAACCGGCACATGCTGTCCTGGGCACTGTTCTGCTGAGAGAGTTACTGAAGTAGAAAGATTTTTAAATACAAGAAAATATTTCTCAAGGAAATGTAATTACAACACTATAAATACTTGCTATTTTGCAAAACACACTCTCTCTCCCACTTCAATTTGAAGGGGAAAAAAAACCAGTCAGCTACTGAGTCTGGAAATCGATGTTTCTAGAAAGCAAGGGCATGGAAAAGTTACTCTCCCCCTGCCCCTTCCCTCCAGAAGATCCCCAAATGGGGAACAAGTGAGAGCAGGGAGCTGCTAACATTTCACACTTCTTCTTCTGAAGATTTAAGTGAATAAATTTTCTGAGAGTTATGATATGTAATGATTATTCCAACCAGGAGAGAGATCCAGAGGGCTGGGAGTGCGCACTCCTCAGCTGGCCCCGCTGCGATGCACCCTGGTGTCTGGAGAACTCGGCCCAGCTCTGTCATTACCCTGGGAGCTCCCAGGCCTCCCCATCCGGGGCTCCCCACCCCTTGTACCTCCCAAGGTTCTTTATTGGGAAGACTGAAGGAGTGAAGTATAAAGTGATTTTACTATTGTAAAGCAGCTTTATTTGGCCCCCTCTGATACATCCTAAGCCAATATTAAATGTTTCAGTTTCTTAGGGAATCAGCTATCCAGGACATTTCCAAGCCAAACTACTGGCTAATGCTAAAAACCAAGGCAAAGTGAAAACAAGGGAAGAGTAACTTTGGCACAAGACAAACCCGATGCAGGCAGTCATGGGGGATGACTGGTTTTTATCCAGAAATGCAAACAAGTGGCCTTCTGCACCCCATTTGAAGAATCTCAAATGGGAGGGTTTCCTGCCAATGTGCAAATCCATCAATACTCCGTGAGCCATGTGGCTGGCAGGTCCAATCCTACCATGACTTTCCGAGTGCAAGCCTCGTCTAGTTCTTTTTGCTCAATTGTTGAGTGTCTCACTGACGCCCTTTGCCACTGAGATCCCTGTAAGTCACTACAGAACAAATGACAACTGCACATTTAGGATGACCTCGTTTCCCTCAAATAGGCCAGCAAAGGAGGAGCTCTAGCCTTGGCTTGCTCAGAGAAAACCCTCACTCTCTATTTTCTATGCTTTGAACTGCCCAAACCTGTTTCTCAGCATCTAAATGAAAAACTACTTCATGGCCTTGTATTTTCAGATTGTATTCGTCCACAAGCAGTCACTCAATTTTGGAGAAAGTCACACCTGGTCTTTCCATGGTCTTTGACGTGAGAATCTCACAGGCATGGTACCCTTCTAAATGCAGCTGTCAGCTGAACACCCTGCAATGAAAAATGTTTTGGGGGAATGTTTCTTTGGTCACAAAAGTCAAAAGGTTGCCCCTAATGACTCTGAAAAGTGGGAAGAAGAAAGGTCACTCTCCCTGGTTTGATCTCCTCTCATGTCTAGCTGGATGACGGGACTCGGTTAGAACAAACGCAGGAGAATATGCCAATTCTCAGTTTTTGCCTCAGAAGTTGTTAGGCTGTGACTTAAGCAGCCCAAGTGAAGAAAATGTATGAAGAAGGATCACGTGCTTTAAGGTGAACGGTTTGGACAAGTCCTGCCAAATCAGCTCCATTGTGGTGGCCTGAGTGTGGCACTGCTTCCTGTGTTCTCAGAAACTCTAACCAAATATTATGGCCCACTGATCTTGATCCCTGAAGGGATCTCTGGAGTTACATTTCCTTATTTCCTTATGTCATAATGAGGAGGCCCTTGCTGATCCTTCCTGGATTTAGAGGGAAAGGATTCGCTTTCTTTTTTTTTGGGGGGGGACGAAGTTTTGCTCTTGTTGCCCCGGCTGGGGTGCAATGGCGTTATCTTGGCTCACTGCAACCTCTGCCTCCCGGGATCAAGCGATTCTCCTGTCTCAGCCTCCTGAATAGCTGGGATTACAGGCATATACCACCGTGCCCAGCTAATTTTTATACTTTTAGTAGAGACGTTGTTTTGCCATGTTGGCCAGGCTGGTCTGGAACTCCTGACCTTAAGTGATCCACCCCCCCCGCCCCTCGGCCTTCCAAAGTGCTGGGATTACAGGCATGAGCCACTGTGCCTGGCCTGCTTTCTCAATTTGGATCTTTAAGCTCCAACCCCAGAATCATGAAAGAGTCACACATGTTAAAAAATACTGCTGTTTAATTTTCTAATAATGTCCTTTAAAAAAAGCTGATACATTGAGTTTTTTTATCTTCTCAGATCTGCCTCTGAAACCACTGCAAAGCAGCTATGCAACTTGTTTTCAGCACTCATATATATATTAATGGAGGAAAAGCCACTCTGAGGAAGCACACCAAGGACATGTTCCCATGTGGGCACACCCCGTCGGCACTGGGTACCCAGGAATGTGAATGCAACCCTGGCATGCCCACAGCTAACTTCATGCCCTTGCATTCTTTTTCGCTATGAGGAACAATATGATCACACAGCACTAAAAATGGTAGACACAAAGGGCCTACCTTTTTCTTTCTCATTTTTGCCCTTCCAGCTTACACTTCTATTCCTATTCCAGTGACCCATTTATTCCCCAGTTACCCATAATGAAAAATAGTTCTGTCATTTACTGAGCCTTACATTCAAATGCAAATGACGGACTTTATAAAACTGCTGCAAGTAAGGTACAATGTTCATTGATACAATACGTTTCAACTGCAGGTATGTTGAGCACACAAGCAATCACCGTATTGTATTAGAGACATTTTATTGAAAATGCGAAAATAGGAAATGTATTATAGCCTAAAATAAATTACATAACATATACAGCATATATTTATATCTTTAAAATATTTTTTTGTTTAGGTTCTTTCAGTCTAGGAATTTTGACTAAATCAACAATTTAGTGAACTGTGTCTATAATTTTTTAAAGGAAAAAACCTGCTTTCCAAAACTTAGAAAAATATACTGCACTGCATGGATTTCGAATGTGTTATTTCGGGGAGGACCACATAGTGACTCTGGTATCATCATAAAATGTCTTGTTTTATCGTATGGTGTGGGAGGGAAGTACCATAGTACATTCTGAATTACCTGTACCGCAGAGTTACGACTTAAGGATGGCAGAACCAGGTAATACATCTACTTCAAAAGTTACCCTACAGCAACCTGGCATTAGAATGCTGGATGAGACTTAAAGCTTCAGTTCACTGGAAAAACTAAAATGCAAAGTTAGAACGCTCCATGTGACTCGCTCTAGTGCGACCTTCAGGAAAGGCGAGGGAAAAGCAAGCCTTCAGGAAAAGTCATGCGGCAGGGGCTGGAAACTGGAGATGCGCTTTTGTGACAACTTAAAAGAGTTAGCTCATGTATATACACGGTGGGGGTGAGAACTGACAGCTCGCTCGGATCTAGGAGAACACAGAGTGATATGCTATCATTCAACCGTGTCAGTTTGCTGTCCCCGGGGCATTTCCAACCTTTCTACGGGAGATTATGTCCGTCTGTCAGCCCGCTGTGGTCACAGGTCTCCCCGTTCCTCAGTGTGAACGGGGACTCCGGGCTGCAGCCTGCCGCCCGCCTCCTGCATGTGTGGAGTAGATGGGTTTGAACTCCATGGCGGAAGGGAAATTTAAGAGGCCACCGGGGCTCCATCTCTTTGTACGGCCATGTGACTGGGAAGCAAATCAAAGGAAGCCAAGTTTTAACCTGTTGATTCTTAAGAGCGATGAAGGGGCACAGGAGAGTCTGTGGCCTGCTGTGCAGGGTGCCCGAGAGGCGACGGCACAGCTGCAGTCCTTTGGTTCCAAGAGGAGATTGTCCAGGGGAGGAGGACACACCGTCGAGCGTGAGGCAGCTGTGTCTTCTGGGTTTTCGTGAGGCAGGGCATGAAGTCAGTTGTTGCGCTTGTTTTTACATAGCAACAGTGAAGACCATTCACCAGGTCCCCCCGTCAGTGTGAGCATACTCAGTATGCTAGAGAATTGACACGAAACCTTTAAATCAAGGCCTCTTTCATCACCAAAACAAAACAAACAAAAAAGGGAACAAAATACGATGGGAGAGGGAAGAGATGATGCCGAAGTGTCATCCTGACTGTCCCTGCAGTGCCCATGGCGTCCCGTGCCTTATTCATTCTCTTCTCTCATTTCCACGATGTCTGTCACCTCCTCTGTCGGAGGCATGTCCGTCATGGCGGAGTCTTCCCCCTCCGTGGCCGACTCGTTCTCCATCTTCTTTTTCTAGACCAAAGAAGACTCATCAGTGTGGGGCTGTGGACAGGGACACTGCACAGCAGAACCACGAGCAGGGAGACACCACCAGGGTCTGGGGGGACCCCCCACTGTAGGCTTAAACCTTCTTATGGTTGGGGTGGCCTCACCTCTTCTGCATCTTAGTTCAGCGTGTTCCTTGCAGTTTCGTGTCTGTGCGCCTGCCACTGAGCTAGGCAGGCACTTCGGAGGACACTGTGTCCCACCGCCCCGCCCCAGACAACCCACCCCCTGCTGCCCTTTCCAATGAGGGCTGCGCTCTCCCCGACTCCTCACAGTCACCTGCAGACTTCTTTTCCTTCCTCCTCCCTAAAGCCTCAAGCTTGGAACCTCACGTTATCAGAATATTGCACCTTGTACAGCCTCCGTCAGTCACCTCTGGGACAGCTCCAGGCTTGCTGTCATTCTCTCCCACTTACTGCCTGTCCTAATTCCTGGTCACTTCCCTGCCATGTTGCCTGTTCTTACAATAAATGGCCTCTCAGGGATCAGGTTCACAGCCCCAGCCCACCTCAACCACTCCTGGGTCACTGCAGACCTTGCCATTATCGACATGTGGGGCACCACCAACAGGCCAAGGCAAAGACACTGTCCTTTGTCTGCCAACCCTGCTGGTCCCCCATCCACGGATCCCACCAGCCCTTCACTGTGGCCACCTTCTCGATGTCCTCCCTCCGCTCTTTCCTCAGCTTACATGACATGCTCAGTAATGACCATCATTTCCCTATCCTGCTTTTCTTCCATCATATTTGCCAGGCAAAGCCCCACCTGTGCTGAGGTTCAGATCTCTACCATCTCAGCCCACACCACCCAGCTGCCATGGCTGGGGAAACCCAACAGCAGGGGACAGCCAGTGTCCTGAGATGCGCGTCACGCACCGTGAGCAGGCCCTCTGAGTGGTCTGGCCGTCACCCTGCTGTCCCGGCCTGTTCACTCTGCCATTCTCCTGACCAACTGCTTCCCCACCCATGTGTCCTTGTTCTTCCACCCTCCAACACCTCCCTTTTCTCAGACGATGATCTGGCTTCCTACTTCACTGAGAAAAACAAAAGCGATCAGAAAGGCCCTTGCGCAACCTGTTGGACTGCATCTCTGCTCCGCCCGTGACCAGAGAGGCCGCACGAGCTCCTGTCTTGGGCGCCTGGTCCTCGTGTGCACAGACACATTCGTATCACTGTCCCCTCTCCCACTGGCAGCACTGCCTGTCTGGGTCATTCCCCCGAAGCAAGCCATAGGCTGAACTTTGCCCCATCTTCGCTGGCTTTCTGAAATCCATGTCCACACCTCTCTCTCCTTTGGAGCAAAACTCTTCAAAGGGACTGTCTCTGCTTGCTGCCTTCAGCTTTTCCCCTTTTCTCTTACCCCACTCCCATTAGGCTTCCAGCCACCCTAAGCCACAAGACTGGGCAAGGTCACCAAGGATCCCCCACTGATGAGGGCCACCATCCAACTCTGGTCAGCGGCTGCTCAGGTTCTCCTGCACCCAGCAGGATGCACCCGGGAGGAGGCTCCCGGCGTGGCTGTCTCACCTGCTTCCGGTAGACATAGCACGCGGCGATGGCGACCATGGTGGATTCTCCCACAAAGCCCGCCAGGAGGGAGCCCACACCCAGGGTTGCACCGTGCACCCTGCAGATGAGAACACAAAGGCGATTTGTCTGTTAAGGCCAAGTCAAGGCACAACCGTCCATACCAAAACCCAGGAAAGTAAGTGTAGCCTCGAGACGGCTGAGACCAGCGGTGTTCTCCATCTGTTGGCTTCGTAAGGGCGCAGCTAATAACCTAATGTGTGAGGGGAACTGGGAACTCGGGGTTGGGCCGCCTCCCTCCCGCAGCACATGGATCCTACAGCACACGGACCCCACAGCCCTTCCTGCCCTCCCAGGACACTGGGAGCTCCCTGAGCGCAGGGACCATATCCTCCTCTTCTGGTTTTCACGTCCAGCATACGCTCGAGCCCGTGCAGGGCCAGCCACACCCTGACAGGAGCTCAGTGGCTATTACTTGTGTCTGGGCCTGACCCCAAAAGCTCTTTTCTAGAATGGATCCCAAGAGCCCTAGAATGGATCCCAAGAGCCTCCACCTGGTGCCTGGGCAGACACACAAAACATCATTCTGAATTTCCGATTCTAGACATGCCTAGGGATTTCCCATGGAAATGTAGATCTGAAACCTCTGGACACAGTATTGAAGGGGCAGAAGGACCCACAGCCCCAAACTCCCTGACGACATACCCCAGGTAGGGCAGGACCACGAGGCTGGCGATGAGGACGATGATCCGCAGCACAGAGCTGGGGGCCAGGACGAAGGTTTTCTTCAGCGTCATGAGCCACCCAGTGAGATGCGCCCTCACTGTGACTGTGGGGAGGAACAAAGGACTCGTCAGGCGTGCCCGCATCCCCTCCCCATCCTCTGGACCAGGGCAGCACGTCCGAGCGCCAGAGGCTGCCTGGGACCCTGGTCTTGCTGCTGAGCCTCTGGCCACCCCGTCTTCCTGCCAGGGCTCCCCATCCCTGCTCCTGAGCCTAGGCCCGCCTCGGGTCCCCGCCTCCTCACAGCCCTTTGGGTCTAAACGGCTGGGGACCGGCAGGCTCCTTGCTCCACTGGGACCACATCTTCCAGGCAGCCTAGCTGCTCCTGTCCAGTCCTGTCCCCACACTTGCCCAGCCTCGCCCTCGATCATCCACCTCTAGAAGGGAACACTCAGAGAAGAGTGGCAATATGACGGCACTCTGGTGTGACGCTGGGTGAGCAGAAAAGCTGGCACCAGAATTCATCTTCCCTGCCTGTGATCAGAGGTATGGAGACCAGAGCAGTGAGGTAGGAGGAGGAAGCTGCACGTCCCCACTTCCCTTTGTTCCCTCCCTGAGCTGGTCCTGACCACTTCCACTGAGGTCACTTCCCTTTCTCCCTCTCCTAATGCTGTGGCCCTCGGTGCGCTGCCATTGCACCACAGGCTGCGTGGCCTCCCCGTGCCTGCCTCCTCACTGGATCTCTGAGCTGCAGGAGGGCCGTGGGTGGACAGCGGGGAACTGTGGAGAGCACGGAGCTTGCCCTTGTCAGTAGGAAGGTCCCTGAGCATCTAGATTCCATCTGAAACTGGAAAGGCTTGAGGAAGCGCAGGGCAGGGCCTGCTCCTTGAAGACAGGGGCCCGTCACCTCCCTGTGGACAGCACCAGGCAAAGGCTCTTGGAGGAGGAAGTGCTCATTCCTGGGATAAAGATTCCTTTCCAGGATTGCTGGTTTGGAAGGAAGCCTCTGCCGTCTTCTTGGTCTAACAGTATATGTCCTGCCTTCCTCTGGGTGGAAGCCTTATATTAATACTAACAAGGCTAATTTTCTTCTCTTAGGCAGACAGACCCACTGAGGTTTTTGACCGAAGGAGAGAGTCGGTCCCAGGCATATGCTAAACTGGGTAGCCCAAATCCAACAGATTGCAAAGAGTGGCAGGGCCTGGCAGCTGTCTGGAAACCCTTCATCTTACAGACAAGAAAGTGGAGTCAAATGGAGATTGAAGGTGAATCGCATACCCAGCTATAGCCGGCTCCCAGCTGGGGCGCTCCAGGCCCCTCCTCTGGTCACTACCATAGGAAATATAGCTGCATGTGCCTCAATCTGCGAGTGCAGCTCCTTCTGGATGGTGACACTTTCCCCAGCTTGGTTCACCCTGTGGCTACCCAAGTCCAGATGCCATCCCGGTGCTGTGATCTTCCAGCCACTTCTCCATTTCTGCCACAGCCCAGAAAGTGATGCCGCAAGGCCTTGGAACAAGGGCTGCTCCCATCAGCCCTGGCCTACCTGGGCTCCGTGGCTCCTTTCTTTTTCTCTTTTTTTCTTTCTTTTTGAGACGGAGTTTCACTCTTATTGCATAGGCTGGAGTGCAGTGGCACAATCTCAGCTCACTGCAACCTCCGCCTCCTGGGTTCAAGCGATTCTCCTGCCTCAGCCTCCTGAGTAGCTGGGATTACAAGCACGTGCCACCATGCCCGGCTAATTTTTTGTATTTAGCGGAGATGGGGTTTCACCATGTTGGTCAGGCTGGTCTCGAACTCCTGACCTCAGATGATCCACCTGCCTCGGATTCCCAAAGTGCTGGAATTATAGGCATGAGCCACTGTGCCCGGCCCATGGCTCCTTTCTTAACATGTGGCTTTGTAGATTCTGGCTTCCCAGTTTAATGATTTAAGTGGATCTTTTGGGGAAACTGATTTTTGACTAGGTGACACACCTGGTACAGAATTTAAAAGGTACAAAAGGGAATAGAGTACAAAGGTCTTCTTCCCAGTGGTGACTTCCCAGGCCCTTGTCCTGCTTCCCACAGGCAACTACTGTTAGCAGCTTGGTGAGTTACTTACAGAAAAAGAATGTAGCTATGCAAGCACTTAGCACATCCATATGACAATACAGATATACATGTGCTACATATTTGCTATGGAAATGGTTGCATACTAATCAACCATTCTGCAACCTGCTCTTCTCATTTAACCTAGAACGACCTCATTCTTGTCTGGTACACCTCCCACCACTATATCGGCTTGGTGTAATAACTTTCCAACTGGCTTTTGTCTCAGCCATGAGCAGTTTCCTTTCTGACCATCCATCATCTGGCCTCAGGTTGCCCTGGAATCTTCCTTTCTACAGCAGTCCTTCTCTGTCTTTGTATATCTCCAGGCTTTAGCAATAAGCTCACTCTATTTTTCTTTTTTTCATTTCACTTTTAAAATTTAACGTATTGTAAAACTGGCTTTTTGGTGCACAGTTCTGAGAATTTTAATACATGAACACATTTGTGTAACCACCACCACAATCAAGACAGAGGGCAGTTTTATTGTCTCCAAAACTACACATGCTATCCTTTCGGGTCTACTTTCTTTTTACTGTTTTTGCAATCACTGCACTTTTAAAAACAAGTTATACGGCCAGGTGCAGTGGCTCACGCCTGTAATCCCAGCACTTTGGGACGCCAAAGAGGAGCACTTGAGGCCAGGAGTTCGAGACAAGCCTGGACAACATGGTGAAACCCCATCTCTACTAAAAATACAAATATTAGCTGGGTGTGGTGGTGGGCGCCTGTAGTCCCAGCTACTTGGGAGGCTGAACAGGAGAAGTGCTTGAACCCGGGAGGCAGAGGTCGCAGTGAGCCGAGATTGTGCTACTGCATTCCAGTCTGCATTCCAGACAGAGACTCTGTCTCCAAAAAAAAAAAAAAATATATATATATATATAAAAACATATAAACATAAATATAAATATAATTATATATAAATATATAAATAAAAAATATATAAAAACAAGTTATACCTATTGATTCATTTCTTGAACTTTCACCTTACTGGCTAATGTTTTTGCATCTTTCTAAGCCACAATGAAATTTTACATTTGTGTTGGTGACATGATTGCAAACATTTCCAAAGACAGATTTAATTAGGCATGAGGATAAACAAGAATGTTTCTTTCATTCTGTTTTTCTTTACCTGGAACTGGGAAGAAGGAGAAGATCCGCAAAGGAACAACACAGAGTTCTGCGAAGGCAAAGTCCACTCCAATGATGTCTATCAAGATTTTCTCGGACACGTTGGGTGTCCAAAACATCACGAAACAGAGCTGGGGGAGAAAGACATCGAACAGGGTTGTGAGGAAAAACGTGGAAGCGAGTGAAATGAACAGGTCAGGTGTGGCACAATCCTTGGAGAGTTACGAAAGGGGGACAACTGGCCCGACTGGGTGGCGGGCATGCTGGTCCCAGATCTGCCACCTGCCTGCTTGGCTGTCTCCTGACCACAGAGGCCCTGGTCCATTAGCCATGGCTGTACCCAGGGGACTCCCATGGCAGAGCAGATGTGGCTCCTCCAAGAGTGGGTCATTGATTTCTGAATGGGTGAGCAGGCCCGTTCAGAACCAATGTGCTTTGGGGCCAGGCTTAAGGAGATTGCCACACAGCTCGGCCAGTTCCGCCTGGACATGTTTATTCATATAATGTTTACAGCTTTAACAAATAAAAAAAAAGCCCTGGAAGTTCTTGGATGTGTACAGAACCACACAGAATCAGCACACACAATGAAAAGGGAAATGTTAGTGTTTAGAGTAAGGATCAGCCTATGAACCTTTTAAAGTCTAGTTACAAGAATAAGAGATGAGACAGCAACAGAATTGGAACTCTGAAAAGCAGATGGGAGGTGGTAAACTGATGTAACAGATGCAGGAAAAGGGAATCCTGAACCCAATGGGGAAAGTGGAGCTCTCTCCCCACCTCCCTTCCCCGCAGATCAGGAAGTGAGGCACAGGTCCTTCCGGAGATGGGGTGAAGGCGGGGTCCAGAGCAGGATGGCTGGAAGTCAGGTTAGCAAGCAATCCATCCACAGCTCCCCTTGCACAGCTGGTGACTACATCTCCCCGAATTTGACAGGAAACAGGAGTTTAGTCTCTGGATGAGGTAAAACAGAGGAGTACCTGGCATGGCCCAGGGCAGAGTTACTACAGGTTGAGTAACCCTTATCTGAAATGCTTGGAACTAAAAGTGTTCCGGACTCTGAAGTTTTCAGATTTTAGAATATTTGCATTATACTTACAGGTTACGCATCCCTAATCCCCAAATACAAAGTCCAGAATGCTCCAATAAACATTTATGTTGAGAGTCCTGTCAGTGCTCAAAAATCAAAAAATTGGATTTTCCATTTTTGGATTAGGCATACTTAATCTGTACATGGAAAACGGGGGGATTAAGAGAAGGATGACATTTGCATGTTCGGGCTTCCTTCCTCTTCTGTGCTCCCAGAACATGAGAAACTAGTTGAGGCCTTCCCAGGTAGGAGACCGGAAATGGTCTCTGAGGAATCTGACCAGCCCAAGAGAAAAGACGTCAAGTTCCTGAAAATTAAGTCTCCCAATGAAGCAGCCACACTGGAGCAGCCATCAGTGAGGCCCTCGCAGGTGAGAAACCTCATCCTGGTGATCACAGCTTCCAGTCAACTCCTAGTCTCCGGATAAGGTAAAATGGGTGGGGTGGGGGGCGCCTGGCATGGCTGAGGGCAGAGTTACTACAGCTAGTCACCAGAGCCCCGCTTATCAAAATGAGCAGGCAACCAGGGAGAAGCACGCTTTGACAGAGGCCTCCAATGTGCGGAGACCAAAACTATGGAAAAAACTGCAACTTAAGAGGAAACAAAGACAATAGAGAGAGAGAGGGAAAAAAAAAGAAAACTTTTCTCATTGACATCCCCAGAGAGATGGGAGAAGCCACTGCGCCCACGAAACAAGAACAGAAGGAGAATGTTATAAAAAAGACATTCACGCCGGACGCTGTGGCTCATGGCTGTAATCCCGGCAGTTTGGGAGGCCGAGGCGGGTGGATCACCTGATGTCAAGAGTTCAGCACCAGCCTGGCCAACATGGAGAAACCCCGTTTCCACTAAAAATACAAAATTAACTGGGCATGGCGGCGCATGTCTGTAATCCCAGCTACTTGGGAGGCTGAGGCAGGAGAATTGCTTGAACCCGGGAAGCGGAGGTTGTGGTGAGCTGAGATGGCGCCACTGCACTCCAGCCTGGGCAACAAAAGTGAAACTCCATCCCCCCCACCCCCCCAAAAAAAGACATTCACAGAACAAAAAAGATAAAAGCAGAAAGGAATTCACGAGTTAACAGTGAGATAAGTTTAGGGAAGCCTACCACAGAGACAGAGCAGAAGGACGAAGGCGTGCAAATGAAGCACAGGAGAAGAGTTAAAGAAACAAAGTCCAACACCCAAATAACAGGATTTCCAGAAAGAGGCGACAGCGTACGTCTGAGACTGAAAGACACCAGTTTCCGAACTGAAAGGGCCCATCGTGGGAGGTGGTGCAGTGCATGGGAAAAGCCCCATCAGGGCATGTCACCGAACACTATTGGGGGACACAGCTTCCTATGGGCTTCCGGCCTCGGGCTTCTTAGTAGCACTGAAAGCTAGAAGACAAGGAGCAGTAAGTTTCGAAGGAAGATGATTTCTACCCTAGAACTCTAAACCAAACTATCACTCAAGTGTGTTTAAAAGAAAAATATTTTCGCTATTCAAGGCCTCAAAAGTTTTACCTCCCATGCACACTTTTTCAAGAAGCTATTGGTGAGGGTTGCTCTGCCAAGGCAAGCGAGTCATGGAGTGGAAAAGAGCAAGGCGTGGGTGAAGCACAAGACAAAAGCCAGGGAAATCTCTGGGGCAGAGGTGAAGGCTGCGGTAGGCCCACAGGTCAGTTGATCTTCCCTGGAGCAGGGAGAAAAAGGCTCCGAGAGATGCTAACTACCTAGTGTGCTTGAATACTTGAAAAGAGATTTACACCACGCAGGGAAAATGTGGGAATAACTCAGTGAGAAGTACCCAGAAGGCTAAGAAAAATGATCATTGAGTCAATTATTAAGTCCAGGCAAAACCAAAGCTGTTTGAGAAAGGAAGGGAATCAGGGCTCGGTGTCAGAGTATCATAGTCACAATCCATCCAGAGTTGGGGGTGCCTCTGAGAGCAGGAAAGGGACAGGGTGGAAGTGAGCAGCGCTGAAGAGGTGGGCTGGGGACATGCTACTGTGAGTTACAATCCTTTCAGAGCTGACTTGGAAAACTTGGTGCTAATTTTAAAAACCTGAATTTAAAAATCCAACAACATCACTGTGGAAGATTCTGTTAAAAACTTGCCAGTTTCATCAAATATTTATCTCCTTTTCTTAAAATGCCAGTGATTCTTCTCTAAAATAAAACTGAATATATTCTAAAATGAATTACAACAGTGTAAGAACAGAACACTGAAATTTCAGAATATAACATTCTTTTAGGCTCTGACTACATTGTTTCATGGAATTAGCCAAGCTCTATGTACTATGTCATGTTGAAATATTAAAAAAATACACTGGAGATCTATTATAAATATATTTCACTTTATAAGTGCAATAGAGCCATTCCCTATGTATTTTCTGCATCTGGCAAAGTATATTCCACTGGTTTTCAAAAATGGCAGAGGTACTACTATCTCATTTAATCCTCCTGCTTGATGACAGTACTCACACCCCATCTTTGACATGAAGGAAAAAATACTTCCTTAGATCTAGCAACTTGGAGCTCAGGGACTTTATTGCCTGAATGCCCTGGATAAGTGGCCCTGTCATCTTTTCCTGAAAGGGTGAGACATCGCACACAGTCATAGCCCTGGTATGGTGGCAACTTCACATTATAATTGGAAACAACACTGAGCATGGAGTTGGAACACTATTTCCCTGTCCATGTCCTACCCCCACAAATACACGGATCATCCCTGCTTCCAGCTTTGCTTTATACTGGGCCCCCAATATATCCCATAGCAGTAAAACCGTAAAGAATTGAGCTAAGGGTTGACTACCTTACAGTCTGGGCTGGCTCTGTGCCTTAGAACCTGCAGAAAGTGAGCCATTCTGTGTTTATCTAAGGGGTTAGAGAGAGACCTAGGCCACATACTGCTAAAAACCTGAAGCTTCCAGGGGAACCATGAGCATGCTTTATTTATTTCGCAGCCAGCAATGATCTGAATGTGAGATGATGCCTCACACAAATGTTGCAATTCTCTGGGCTTTGCAAAATCATTGTAAAGTGGCTCTTCAGTTACAAGAACCAAGGAAAAAGGAGTGTGTAATTGCACATCAGAGAGAAAGACGGCAGAAATGGGTCACTGTGGCAGACAAGCCGGGTAATCCCTGCTCTGGGATCCCTAGTCAGGTCATGTTCACCCAGAGGCGTTTTCCCGTCTTGTAGAAGATCAGTTAACCTTTGCAGCAGGGGGGTCCAGTTTGAGGACACAACGATAGGGAGTGTGCCCACATCACCTGACACACTGACATCAGTATCAGCCAAGCTGTGTAGGTGACCACAGTTCTGGTACCTTGAACACAACCACGGAGTTAGGTAAGGTTTGATGGATTTCCACTAGGAGCTTCCTGAGATGGTGGCTCAATATTCCATTTCTAAAATTCCACAGTATGATCCAACTTGGCACCACTCAGTCACTCTGTTCTTTATCTGGCTCTGTCTCTGCTGAGCACACCCTACACGCCCCTTATCAAGGCCATGTGCCAACAGAGGTGCGTCTTCAGTTTCAACCACACACACCTACAGCCCAGACTGGGTCTTCATGGGGTATCGGAACTGGAAGCGGTTAGTCTGATCCGGGGTTTTGAACAATCACAGACAACTAAAGGAAAGGAATGCCACATTTATCAGTGTCTCCTTTTTCTTCCTCCCTGAAGTCTCTGAAGCTCTTGCTATGCTTCCAGTAGGAAAATGCCACTGCACTTTTCAGCAAGCTTTTCAGTGAGTGGTTATTTCCTGCATATATAACTTAGGTATACATACAACTTAGAAAGGAATACATTTAACTTAGAAGTGGATATGGTGGGCCAGGTACATTGGCTTACACCTGTAATCCCAGCACTTTGGGAGGCCAAGGCGGGTGGATCACAAGGTCAGCAGATCGAGACCATCCTGGCAAACACGGTGAAACCCCATCTCTACGAAAAATACAAAACATTAGCCGGGCGTGGTGGCAGATGCCTGTAGTCCCAGCTAGTTGGGAGGCTGAGGCGGCAGAATGGCATGAACCTGGGAGGCAGAGC